TTTCACTTAATTTAGTTGGATTTCAATATCTTGTTGATTTGAATGTATTTTGTTGTTGTTCGCATCTGAAAAACAACTTTTCTTTTCAATTATTATCAACAAGTGTGTTTTCTTTATTTAATTTCAAGTTGACTATTGTCCACCTCTTGTTGTATTTATTTTGCTAATTGTTTTTATTTTCTATTATTTACTTAAATTTCTATTTTTCTTGTCTTTAGTCAACTAAAAGATATTTTCCCATTACAAAGTCCATTTGGCTCAGTGGACGTTTTACTACACTTTTTATTTTATTTATTATAATGTTTATTTTTTTGTTATTACTGATATTGATTTCAATTTATTTGTCGGTTTGACTATTGTTTTATTATTAAAATAGATTTATTATTAACTTTGTTAGAGATAATGATTATAAGACCTCTTGTGCGTTCGTTCTATTCTGTGTGCTATAAATATATGAATTTATAATATAAATGCATTATAACTGCGATTATAGAATTGTGTTTAATATTTTAAACTTGAAATATTTAAAAAGTATTATTATCTTTTAATTGTTATAAAAGATTTTAAAGAAATATATTTTTTTAAATATTCTGGTTTTTCCCTAAACATTGGACATTTTGTAGTTGTAGTCATAATGTTAGAGTTTATATTTCGATTAAGTTTTATTTGCTTTCATTTCGATATCAAAATTTGGGCTAATCAGCAAAGTAATAATCAGTAAATGATCGTCAATAATGAAACAACTTGTATAAGATTAGAATCGTCGATTAAAAGTGGTAACTTGTGCCGTACGAGGGCTACAGTAAAAGTTTTTGAAAACTTAAAGAACTTTTATTTTATGAACTATAGACAAGTTTTATTGAATAATCCTATTGAGTAGCCTTTGAACTAGACTATTGGCTACCATATGGACTAGTTTATTAAATATTCAGTAGGCTTGTTATTGACTAGCTGTAGGACAAGTCCATTGACTAGGTTATTGCAATGTCTGTGAACTAGTTTAATGACTACTCTCTGATCTAGTAAGTATATTGACTACTCTATTGGCTAGTTTATTGACTAGTCTATTGTACAGTCATACTGATAAGTATATAGAATGGTCTATGGAATAGTCCATTGATAAATCTATTAACTGATTATTCGATTGACTAGTCTATTGACTATGTCTATTGACAAGTCTATTAACTAGCCTATAGAAACGTCTATTAACTAGTCTATTGACAAATCTATGGAATATTCCACTGATTAATCTATGGATTAGTCTTTCCACTAATATATTTACTAGTTTACGGACTAGCCAAGACACCAGTCTATGGACTGTTATAATGACTATTCTAGGTTCTAGTCTATTGACTAGTCTAATGACTAGTCAATCTAGTCTATTGACTAGTCTATTAACTAATCTATTGACTAATATATGGTATTGTCTACTGATTATTCTATTGACTATTCTATTTTATAGTCTATTGACTATTAATTATTCTATAGACAAGTCTATTAACTACTATTGAGATGCCTATTAACTAGTCTATTGATTAGACTATGGACTACTCTATGAACTAAACTATGGACTAGTCTACTGACAAATCTATGGAATATTCTTCTGACTAGTCTATAAACTAGTCTTTTGACTAATCTATATATGGAATAGTTTAGGGAATAGAAATGACACTAGTCTATGAACTGTTATATGTAATGACTGTTCTAGGGACTAGTCTATTGACTAAGCTATGAATTACTCTATTGGACTGGTCTGATGACCAGTCTATTGACTGGTCTATTGACTAGTCTATTGACAACTCTATCAAGTATATTAACTAAATCTAGACTATGGACTAGTCTACTGTCAAAATCTATAGAATATTCTACTGACTAATCTGTGGACTAATCTTTGGGACTAATCTATATATTGAATAGTTTTACGATCTAGCCCAGACACTAATCTATAGACTGTTATAATGACTATTATAGGTTCTAGTCTATTGAGTAGGCTATTGATTACTCTATGGGCTATTCTATTATCTAGTCTGTTGTCTAGTCTATGGACAAGTCTATTAACTAGTCTATTGGCTAGGCTATAGACTTTTCTATGGACTAGTCTACTGACAAATCTATGGAAAATTTTTCCGACTAGTCTATGGGCTAGTCGTTTGACTAATCTATGTATTGACTAGTTTACGGACGAGCCACACCCTAGTCTATGAACTGTCATAATGACTATTCTACGGACTAGTCTATTAACTAGTCTATGGACTTTCTTAGAGTATTCTAGAAATTTGTTTATGAACTAGTCCTTGATTGGTCTTTTGGTTATTCTTCGGAGTATTGACTAGTACTGAAATTTCATCTCTGCACTATAATGCTCCTTATAAAATGTTTTCTAACTTTAATAGAAAGGAATGAAATATCACAAATTTTAAAAAGTAATAGTAAATTATTGTCTTGGAATTATATGAAAAAAAAACTTATAAAACATTTATTAAATTTTATCTTCTTCATTTCGTTCCAGATATTTCTTCTCCTCTTGATTATATTATATTTTGGCATCATATGTGTTAATTTCACGTTTTCGACGCAAAGATCGTGATGATTTATTTTCCAATGATGAAGATGAATTATTAGTTTATCGCATAAGGTAGAGTAAAATAAAATAACCAATAATAGTAAATATTAGTCACGTTAGCCACAACAACAAACCATAGTCGATAAATGTATTGAAAAACAAGCGAAACAAATCTATTGCATTTTATTGGAATTGATTGTTATTTATTTATTTTTTTAATTTAATTTATCATTTTACAGCTCATGGCTTTGTACATTTTCAATGGCAATAGCAGTTGGAGCAGCACTATTATTACCCGTCTCCATAGCTAGCAATGAAGTGTTATTGCTTTATCCAAATAGTTACTACGTTAAATGGCTAAATAGTTCATTGATCCAAGGTGGGTTAGTTGTTTGTAAACGTATAACGTTTGTTGTATTCGTATGTTTATTGTAATTGTTTTCTATTTTCTACATTTTCTATTTAGGTCTTTGGAATCATGTATTTTTGTTCTCCAATCTCTCCCTGTTTGTATTCCTGCCATTCGCTTATCTATTTACCGAATCGACCGGGTTCTCTGGCAATAAAAAAGGCATTATACCCCGTGTCTATGAAACATTTACAGTATTTAGCCTGTTGGCATTTGTTGTATTAGGTCTCACGTATGTTTTATCCGCTGTTATGGATCCAGAAAAGATTGGATTTTTATCGCTATTAAGTAAGTTTTAATTTCATTATCTCGATAGCTGTTGTGAAAAGAAAAAAGTGAATATAAATTTATAGCGGAAATTTATTGTAAATTTTACGCTTGTAATTTTAAATCATTTATCTGGGTGCAGTGTATTGTAATACCTTCCTAGTCATATTAACTACCACCTTATCTGATATTGTCATTAATTATTTCTTTTTTTGTTTTCTTCTGTTTATTTATAGATTTGGGTAGCGTTCATTTGCCATTTTTATATTCATGTGTATCTTTTTTGGGTGTGCTACTGCTACTTGGTAAGTTTTTTTGTTTATACATATTTATGTTGTTGCATTGTGAGATTTTTTCATTTGTTTTCTATACACTGGTAAATAATTGCATTTGGAAATTGTTGGAAAAATTTACAATGTACGCAGTTATTTAAATTTAACTCCAAAGTTGATATATGGATATTTGAAAAGTGAAAATTGTGTAAAACAAATATAAGCCTGTTCCCACTCTTAGCATTTTTGAGTTATAGACTAGACTATAGACTAGACTATAGACTAGACTATAGACTAGACTATAGACTAGACTATAGACTAGACTATAGACTAGACTATAGACGAGACTATAGACTAGACTATAGACTAGACTATAGACTAGACGATAGACTAGACTATAGACTAGACTATAGACTATCTAGCAGACTGACTATAGACTGGACTATAGACTATACTATAGACTAGACTATAGACTAGACTATAGACTATACTATAGACTAGACTATAGACTAGACTATAGACTATAACAGACTATAGACTAGACTATAGACTAGACTATAGACTAGACTATAGACTAGACTATAAACTAGACTATAGACTAGACTATAGACTAGACTATAGACTAGACTATAGACTAGACTATAGACTAGACTGTAGACTAGACTATAGACTAGACTATAGACTAGACTATAGACTAGATTATAGACTGGACTATAGACTAGACTATAGACTAGACTATAGACTAGACTATAGACTAGACTATAGACTAGACTATAGACTAGACTATAGACTAGACTATAGACTAGACTATAGACTAGACTATAGACTAGACTATAGACTAGACTATAGACTAGGCTATAGACTAGACTATAGACTAGACTATAGACTAGACTATAGACTAGACTATAGACTAGACTATAGACTAGACTATAGACTAGACTATAGAATAGACTATAGACTAGACTATAGGCTAGACTATAGACTAGACTATAGACTAGACTATAGACTAGACTATAGACTAGACTATAGACTAGACTATAGATAGACCTATAGACTAGACTATAGACTAGACTATAGACTAGACTATAGACTAGACTATAGACTAGGACTTAGACTAGACTATAGACTAAGCCTATAGACTAGACTATAGACTAGACTATAGGACTAGACTATAGACTAGACTATAGACTAGACTATAGACTAGACTATAGATACTAGACTATAGACTAGACTATAGACTAGACTATATACTAGACTATAGACTAGACTATAGACTAGACTATATACTAGACTATAGACTAGACTATAGACGAGACTATAGACTAGACTATAGACTAGACTATAGACTAGACTATAGACTAGACTATAGACTAGACTATAGACTGACTATAGACTAGACTATAGACTAGACTATAGACTAGACTATAGACTAGACTATAGACTACACTATAGACTACACTATAGACTTGACTATAGACTAGACTATAGACGAGACTATAGACTAGACTATAGACTAGACTATAGACTAGACTATAGACTAGACTATACTATAGACTAGACTATAGACTAGACTAGACTATAGACTAGACTATAGACTAGACTATAGACTAGACTATAGACTAGACTATAGACTAGACTATAGACTAGACTATAGACTAGACTATAGACTAGACTACAGACTAGACTATAGACTAGACTATAGACTAGACTATAGACTAGACTATAGACTAGACTATAGACTAGACTATAGACTAGACTATAGACTAGACTATAGACTAGACTATAGACTAGACTATAGACTAGACTATAGACTAGACTATAGACTAGACTATAGACTAGACTATAGACTAGACTATAGACTAGACTATAGACTAGACTATAAACTAGACTATAGACTAGACTATAGACTAGACTATAGACTAGACTATAGACTAAACTATAGACTACACTATAGACTAGACTATAGACTAAACTATAGACTACACTATAGACTTGACTATAGACTATTATACGAAGAATACATTGCTTTGCGCATGGATCACTAATTCTAGACTGTAAACTAACTTTAGGCTGGGCTATATGAAGAGTACCTAGCTTTCAACATGGAAAAGCTGGTGTTAGCTTATAAGATAGAATTGTGAACGTAGCTGTTTGTAAGTAGAATTATATCAAATTTATGTTTTTATTAATTTTATATAATATAATATTCATATTGATTCTCTGGCAAATTTATCTAAAAAAATCATCAATAAAATCAGTTTTCTTAGGATTACTTTTTCGTGCAACTTAATGCTAGTTTCGTAATTCTTTTCATCGCCACAACGTTTATAAGCAGCAGCACGATATAGCCAACTACGTAGATTTTTCTCTTCCAATTTATTCAAAACATAATCACAATCCATAATAGCACGTTTATAGTTTTTCAATCTACACGTAAAAGATAAATAAAGAAAAAATTATTATTAACCTTAAGCTTGAAAAGAATTTCAATAATTAAAAATGTAATAGCTTTGTTAAAAATATTTAACAAATTTTGCAGGTTTTCGAAAAATTCGACAAACAAAATATTAATTGTTTAAGGTTTACTTACTTCATATAGGATAATGCTCGATTATTATATAATATAGGACTATCCTTAACATGATCTATGGCCTTGGTATACATGTTTATGGCTTTTTCATAGCTTTGTTTACGGAAGGCTTCATTGCCCAAACTATATTGAAAAGAAATTGTATTATACTCCTATCAACAAATTATTATTAAATTTACTTCTTAACCAACCTTCTAAAATTCTGAGCTATTCTTTCACGCTCCCTTTTATTTTTGTTCTTTCTTCGGCATCTTGTTCCAGCTGTTTCATAAACGTAAATTTATCCATTTCAGCTACATCTTTCTTATCGGCCTCTTCGATTTTTGTTGCTGATTTTTATTAATTGATGTGCGGTCCTCTTTGACCGTAATAATGAAATCATTTTCATTTATTTCATCCATAATATTTTTGGTCCTGAAATTAGAGGTGTTAAGAAAAAATGTATTTTCTGTTGATTAAACTTACGCTGATTTTTTGGTTGCTCCTTCTTCGCCCTCCTTTTTATTGGCATTGCTTATATCTTCCAGCAGTTTCATAACTTGATTAACTTTTGATTCAAATTCCAAAAAATCTTCATCTAATCCGGGAGTATTCATTGTTAATTGTTTTTAATTGACAAATTTAAGTTTTTTTTTTAATTATTGTGTTCAATGTTTTTCTAGCTTCTGTTGAAAATGGTCTTTTGGTAATAGAATAAATAAATATCGTTGCCACATATTTTGTTTTTTATTGCCATAGTAACCTTAATATTATTTTAGAACCTGTTTCTCTATACGAATCCTTGGTAATGCGTTGCCAAGAAATCAGTTTCTTCTAAAAACTAGGGACGGGCATTCGCAAAGAAACTAGATTAAATTATACTAGAAAATAGACTAGACTATAGATTAGCCTATAGTCTAGACTATAGACTAGATTATACTCTAGACTATAAACTATACTATATACTAAACTAAAGACTAGACTCTATACTAGACTCTACTACTAGACCTATAGACTAGACTATAGACTTACTATGACTGACTATAGACAGACTATAGACTAACTATAGACTAGACTATAGACTAGACTATAGACTAGACTATAGACTAGACTATAGACTAGACTATAGACTAGACTATAGACTAGACTATAGACTAGACTATAGACTAGACTATAGACTAGACTATAGAATAGACTATAGACTAGACTATAGACTAGACTTGACTAGACTAGACTAGACTAGACTATACTATAGACTACTATAGACCATAACTATAGACTAGACTATAGACTAGACTATAGACTAGACTATAGATAGACTATAGACTAGACTATAGACTAGACTATAGACTAGACTATAGACTAGACTATAGACTAGACTATAGACTAGACTATAGACTAGACTATAGACTAGACTATAGACTAGACTATAGACTAGACTATAGACTAGACTATAGACTAGACTATAGACTAGACTATAGACTAGACTATAGACTAGACTATAGACTAGACTATAGACTAGAGTATAGACTAGACTATAGACTAGACTATAGGCTTGACTATAGGCTTGACTATAGACTAAAATATAGGCTTGACTATAGACTTGACTATAGACTAGACTATAGACTAGACTATAGACTAGACTATAGACTAGACTATAGACTAGACTATAGACTAGACTCTAGACTAGACTATAGACTAGACTATAGACTAGACTATAGACTAGACTATAGACTAGACTATAGACTAGACTATAGACTAGACTATAGACTAGACTATAGACTAGACTATAGACTAGACTATAGACTAGACTATAGACTAGACTATAGACTAGACTATAGACTAGACTATAGACTAGACTATAGACTAGACTATAGACTAGACTATAGACTAGACTATAGACTAGACTATAGACTAGACTATAGACTAGATTATAGACTAGACTATAGACTAGACTATAGACTAGACTATAGACTAGACTATAGACTAGACTATAGACTAGACTATAGACTAGACTATAGACTAGACTATAGACTAGACTATAGACTAGACTATAGACTAGACTATAGACTAGACTATAGACTAGACTATAGACTAGACTATAGACTAGACTATAGACTAGACTATAGACTAGACTATAGACTAGACTATAGACTAGACTATAGACTAGACTATAGACTAGACTATAGACTAGACTATAGACTAGAGTATAGACTAGACTATAGACTAGACTATAGGCTTGACTATAGGCTTGACTATAGACTAAAATATAGGCTTGACTATAGACTTGACTACAGACTAAAATATAGACTAGACTATAGACTAGGCTAGGTACAGACATGAAATTATGTATAAAATTTAAAAATATTTTTCTAAATCTCACAATGTGTTTACTTTTTACCTTAACAATTTTTTTAATGTATTATTTTAATATCTTTTCCTTTCCAGTTTGCACACCATTTGGCTTTGTACGTCTCTTTGGTGTTGTTGGCCAAGTTTTGGTTAAACCACATCTCTTGCGTGATGTCAACGAAGAGTATATTGCTTTTCATATGGAAGAAGCCAGTGTTAAACGTAAATTAGCTAATTTAGAGCTACAAAATGTTAGCATTAACGAATCTCTTAATGGTACATTTTCATCCAATAACACAACATACGATACACCATCTGGCAGCTATATTTTACACAACATGCTAAATGGTCATCATCATTCACCGCATCAACAAAATAGAAATAATTTTAGTTATTATTATAATAATCTATCATCACGTACTTCATTATCACATTTAATACAAAGAAAACCAATGAATGGTGAGATACATGATCATCAAGCCAAATTAAACGAAAGACTGAGAGAGTTGGAAACTGAGCGTAAAGAATTGGAAAAACTTAAGAAATCATCGGCATTTCAAAGAAATTTTGTATATCCTTTGGCTATGTTGCTGTTACTGTTCTTTACGGGCATTACCATATTGTTGGTGGTGCAGAATACACTGGAGTTATTGATTGGCATCAAGGCTCTACCTTTAAGTACACGGGTAAGTTTAATTGAACAAATTTTAATCTAAAAATAAAGTTTTTAATTTATTAATTTAAAATTTTGTGCAGCAATTTACTTTGGGCATAACTTCCTTATCGAAGTTAGGTCCCTTTGGTGCCGGCCTAGAGGTGTGTCTGATATTTTATTTGGGAGCCACTTCAGCAGTGGGTTTCTACACCATGCCCTTTATGCGTAATGTAAGACCACAAAGGCGCAAAACTTCACTATCACAATTGATACTTAATTGTGCTTTAGTGTTGATTTTAAGTTCTGCCCTGCCATTACTAAGCCGTATTATAGGTGAGTTGATATTTAGTTAAAGTTTTATAAGAAATTAAAACAATTTTATCTTTTTAAGGCATTACCAATTTCGATTTACTGGGTGATTTTGGTGCCATCGAATGGTTGGGCAATTTCCAAATCGTTCTACTTTACAATCTGGTATTCGGCTCTACCACTGCTTTAGTAGTGGCCAATAAATTTACCGCCACCGTGCGTCAAGAGCTTTGTGCGCGGTTAGTAGAGAATTATGTAATTTTTACTAACTACATGTCATTCATCAACTGATATTTACTAAAACGACGCTTTAAAACCATTAAAATTCTGCCAAATCATACTACACTACCAACAACGACATTAACAACTCACCCATCTTCACCTATGGTTCCTATTAAACATTTAAAATCTTCTATTTTACCCACAACATTTTCATCATTCTTTTCTATGGCTTTAATTATGTGGCGTAGTGTGATTAATCATTTAAATGATAATGGTTTTATTGTGTCGTTCTTAAGAGTTTTTGCCAATTTTCATACTAGAAATACAAAAGTTTAAGTTCATTTCAAAAAGCTACATTTTCTTTTCTTAATATAAAATTTAAATACATAACAAATCAATAACTTATTTATCATTAAACATTTTAAATTTGTAATTTAGTAATAAACTCTATAAATCATTTAACATTTTAATTTATAAATAACTTTATGTTTGATGTACCATGTCTTAATTTATTTTTAGTGAAACATTTAAGATTAATTAAATAAATTATAATTTCAATACAATATTAGAGAGTGTCTTCGAAATGGTTTTTAATGCAAATATATTAAAGTTTAATGTAAAAAGCTATCCAAACAATTTTTTTAATTTTTTAAATTTCTAAAATTTGAAAATTTTTGTGAGATTTAAAAAATTTAATTTTTTTGCATGATTTATATTAGATTCACTAATTTTTGTATTAATTTAAAAAAGCTTCCAAAAGCTGTTTTAATTTGCTTTAATATTTTCAACACAAAACAGACATAGAAAATTAAAAATTGTAAATAGTACTAACTTATAACTAACAGTACTATTTTTGAATATAAAGTACTAAACTAAATTTCCGCTAGATTAGAGTATAGACCTGACTATATACTAGACTACAGACCAGACTATAGGACTATAGACTAGACTATAGACTAGACTATAGACTAGACTATAGACTAGACTATAGACTAGACTATAGACTAGACTATAGACTAGACTATAGACTAGACTATAGACTAGACTATAGACTAGACTATAGACTAGACTATAGACTAGACTATAGACTAGACTATAGACTAGACTATAGACTAGACTATAGACTAGACTATAGACTAGACTATAGACTAGACTAGACTAGACTAGACTATAGACTAGACTATAGACTAGACTATAGACTAGACTATAGACTAGACTATAGACTAGAGTATAGACTAGACTATAGACTAGAGTATAGACTAGACTATAGACTAGACTATAGACTAGACTATAGACTAGACTATAGACTAGACTATAGACTAGACTGTAGACTAGACTATAGACTAGACTATAGACTAGACTATAGACTAGACTATAGACTAGACTATAGACTAGACTATAGACTAGACTATAGACTAGACTATAGACTAGACTATAGACTAGACTATAGACTAGACTATAGACTAGACTATAGACTAGACTATAGACTAGACTATAGACTAGACTATAGACTAGACTATAGACTAGACTATAGACTAGACTATAGACTAGACTATAGACTAGACTATAGACTAGACTATAGACTAGACTATAGACTAGACTATAGACTAGACTATAGACTAGACTATAGACTAGACTATAGACTAGACTATAGACTAGATAGACTAGACTATAGACTAGACTATAGACTAGACTATAGACTAGACTATAGACTAGACTATAGACTAGACTATAGACTAGACTATAGACTAGACTATAGACTAGACTATAGACTAGACTATAGACTAGACTATAGACTAGACTATAGACTAGACTATAGACTAGACTATAGACTAGACTATAGACTAGACTATAGACTAGACTATAGACTAGACTATAGACTAGACTATAGACTAGACTATAGACTAGACTATAGACTAGACTATAGACTAGACTATAGACTAGACTATAGACTAGACTATAGACTAGACTATAGACTAGACTATAGACTAGACTATAGACTAGACTATAGACTAGACTATAGACTAGACTATAGACTAGACTATAGACTAGACTATAGACTAGACTATAGACTAGACTATAGACTAGACTATAGACTAGACTATAGACTAGACTATAGACTAGACTATAGACTAGACTATAGACTAGACTATAGACTAGACTATAGACTAGACTATAGACTAGACTATAGACTAGACTATAGACTATAGACTAGACTATAGACTAGACTATAGACTAGACTATAGACTAGACTATAGACTAGACTATAGACTATAGACTAGACTATAGACTATAGACTAGACTATAGACTATAGACTAGACTATAGACTATAGACTAGACTATAGACTATAGACTAGACTATAGACTATAGACTAGACTATAGACTATAGACTAGACTATAGACTAGACTATAGACTAGACTATAGACTAGACTATAGACTAGACTATAGACTAGACTATAGACTAGACTATAGACTAGACTATTGACTAGACTATTGACTAGACTATAGACTAGACTATAGACTAGACTATAGACTAGACTATAGACTAGACTATAGACTAGACTATAGACTAGACTATAGACTAGACTATGGACTAGACTATAGACTAGACTATAGACTAGACTATAGACTAGACTATAGACTAGACTATAGACTAGACTATAGACTAGACTATAGACTAGACTATAGACTAGACTATAGACTAGACTATAGACTAGACTATAGACTAGACTATAGACTAGACTATAGACTAGACTATAGACTAGACTATAGACTAGACTATAGACTAGACTATAGGCTAGACTATAGACTAGACTATAGACTAGACTATAGACTAGACTATAGACTAGACTAGACTATATGACTAGACTATAGGCTAGACTATAGACTAGACTATAGACTAGACGATAGACTAGACTATGACTAGACTATAGACTAGACTATAGACTACTATAGACTAGACTATAGACTGACTAAATGACTAGACTATAGACTAGACTATAGACTAGACTATAGACTAGACTAGAGACTAGACTATAGACTAGACTATAGACTAGACTATAGACTAGACTATAGACTAGACTATAGACTAGACTATAGACTAGACTATAGACTAGACTATAGACTTAGACTATAGACTAGACTATAGACTAGACTATAGACTAGACTATAGACTAGACTATAGACTAGACTATAGACTAGACTATAGACTAGACTATAGACTAGACTATAGACTAGACTATAGACTAGACTAAGACTAGTACTGAAAAAGTAATAAGGTACTAAATTTTCCATGCCTGGCATAAGTGTTATAGAGAGACACATTGTAGTAAGAGAGTAAATATCTGGTGGGAATCGAACTCTGATACTCTATTTTACGTGTTTTAAAACATTTTATTTAGCGTGATATATTCTTATAAGATTACAGTGAGAAAAAAAAATTACGGAATTTATGTAAAAATTATTAAAAAATTTTCATTTTAAAAGATTTGTTTTAATAATCTGCAATAGTAATAACATTTCAAACGATTTATCATATTCGCGATAGTGTAGAATTGTTGTAGATGTTCTTTTTTTTTAAGAAATTTATAAATTTGGTTTCTCTAACTAAATTTGGTTTTCATACGAAAGCGATTGTGGTAATTCTGTAAATCAATAAATATATTATATACACAAACAAGAAAAATCCTTTAGGGTTAAAATAAATATTTGCTAATTAAAACTATAAACAAATACATAATAAGATCTACTGTTTTTCTATGACTTTGCATACGTTAAATAAAAACTATAACGAATTAATAAACATGTATAGAAAGCGTTAAAGTATTCAATTTCTAATAATTAGCAATAATCTATTGATTAATTTCAAAACGCATCTAATAAATAAAAGTTAGTTTACTGAAAATTTGTAAAAAAAATTAAAATAATCATTTAAATGCTAAACCTTAAACAATTATACATACATAGTTATTTTAAGTATGTTTGCAATATATTTTAAGATCGATACTCACTATAATAAAACTATAAAGTATATTAAAATATTTAATAATAAAGGTTTAAATTGTAACTGTTTTCTCTAAAGTCAGTGAGTATTTTCTGTAAACTATAGTATTTTATTAATGTTTTCGATGAATTGTTATAGAAAATAAACTTTGGCTGTGTTCTCTAGCAATCATTCGTTTAATCTGTAGATAGTTTTTGTTTTACTATTTAGAAAAATTTAAAAAATTAATTGAATATTTAAATGCTAATTAATTGGTAGACAAAATTTATATGTTTATTTATAAATAAAATAACGAAAATATATAAACTACATACTATACACTTATGAAAACAATATTTTAAATTAATACTAACTGTTCCTTAAAACAAATTAACACAACATTACAGCTAAAAAACACTAATTAAAACATTTTATATACATTTAATTAACTAATGCTTTAGTCATAAACAAAATTTAATAAAATTATGTGATAATTACAAAAAATAAAAACAAAAACTGTTTTACTTCAACTGAAATGGCACAAGTTATAAAATGCAAAATTTTCTTTAACATTTCTTTCTCTTTACGCTAATCATTGTTGTCAGTCATAGTTTGGTTCATTTCGTTCATCAAAATTGTACTAAACAAAAATTGTTTCTATTTAATTTCTTTTGTTTCATTTTTGTTTAATTACAGATTAAGTGCGATATTTATGTTGGGATGACATAGAACTTTTATGTACATCTATTTATGTTTAAGTGTTATATTGTAAAATACACAGACACACTCGAATCCGAATATTATTTATGAAATTTACAGTTTTATTACGAAAAATGTTAAATGGTTGCAAATTTTTTTGAGTGCTGGAACGCTTTTTACAAAACTTACAAACTGACTTTGTTTACACAGGCTAACAAAATTTTAAAAACTTGAAACGCAGAGACCAAAATATACATTTCTATAAGGAATAAACAGTGCTAAATCCGAATATGACTTAATATTTTTATACTCACCATCAAAAAAGATGGGGGGTATATTGATTTTGTCATTCCGTTTGTAACACATCGAAATATTGGTCATAGACCCACAAAAGTATATATATTCTTGGTCCTCATTAAATTCTAAGACGATCTAGCCATGTCTGTCCGTCTGTCCGTCCGTCTGTCTGTCTGTCTGTTGAAAGCACGATAGAGTCCGAATGGAAAGAGCTAGAGGATTGAAATTTCACACAAATATTTCTTATAGGTAAGGTTTGTTTGGTATTGAAAATGGGCAATATCGGTCCACGTTTTCGGATAGCCCCCATACAAGTGGCACCTCGAAAATCAGCTTTAACAGCCATAACTTGCTTAAAAATACGAATATAGCGATGAAATTCGACATAAGTAAGTTTCTAATCATCCAAAATCACTATGCAAAATTTTATGAGGATCGGTCCATAATTGACCCTACCCCCCATTTAAGGTCCCCTTCAAAAAATGACTTTATCGCTCATTACTGGCTTAAAAATACTAGTATATAGATGAAATTCGACATAAGTAAGTTTCATACGAGTCAAAATCTATCTAAAAACTTTTATGAGGATCGACCCATAATTATAATCGACCCATAATATAAGGTCCCCTTCAGAAAATTACTTTAACGCTTATAACTGGCCTAAAAATACGAGTATATAGATGAAATTCGACATAAGTAAGTTTCATTCGAGTCAAACGAGGTTTGATGGCGGGTATATAAGATTCGGCATAGCCGAATATAACACTCTTACTTGTTTTCCATCACATCAGGTTTTTGAGTCATTCCTTTAGAAAAGTTTACTTTTGACTCTGTATTAAGTATATGTTGGCCTGTGTTATTATTACAATTGATTGTTATTTTCAGTTGCAATTGTAATATGGGCATTTCCACCGAAAAGTAACAGCTTATATCTAGGGAAACAATATACATATTTTTAATTTGTTTATATTTTTAAGTATAGATCTATGCATAGGATAAAGGTGCGACCAATAAAAAAGAATGGTCCTAAGATATTGTCAATTAATGTGCGTGACGTGATGTGACAAAAAATATACTTTTCGGTGGAAATGCCCATATGCCAATGAAACTGTAATATTCATAAATTAACATACACACATATTTATTAAATGTTATATTTAAGATTTCTTAATACGTACTTTTTGCACATAAAAACTAAAAAATAAGACTATATCATAATATAACATGAGACTATATTTTAAAATGAATACGTATGTGGAAGTTTTTTTGTAGTAATAAAGGGGGTTTCATTAATAACGATGCATTTTCTTTTTGACATTTCTTACCTACAGTGTCTCACATAAGTATTCGAATTTGGTTGTACTTTGAAAAGAAACATAATTTAATAATATTTTTTGTGTGTGAAATGAATAATTAAATTTGTTATATTGTCTAGGGAGTCCTAAGGTATAATATCACACTCTTTAAAATTTGGAAAAATTACATTTACCTCAATTGATTTAACTTTTTTAAAAAAAGTCCATAAAATTGCCTCACAAAAGTATTCGAATTTTTCCTGTATTTCATATATGACCATATTATACGAAACACAAAAATTATAATCGAGTGGTTTCTTGCTTAAAATTGTATTAAAGGGTTACTATCAACCGAAATTATATATTTTGGGTCCATTTGTTCCACAATTTTGGAGCATTTGTACCATCTTTTCATGTAATATCATTAAAATGGCGATTTTTGACCATATTTGCAATTTTTTTTCCTTTTTTTGCAGAAATAAAACCAAACTTTAGTATTGGAATTTAATAGACCCCTTGAGGTATCTAAAAATAATAATTTTTGTTATAAGGATCTGTACTTAAAAGTTCCAAGATATATTTTTGGTATCGTTCTTCTGTTTCTAATTGAATTGTATGGATCTTAAGTCCCTTTTCGTGCCACTAGGGTCGATATTTTCCGACAAGTTGGCTAGTATACATTCATGTACATATTAGCACTAATATATTTAAAATTTTCAATACATTATATCGGTATACAATTCCAAAACATGCCTTTACAAAACGTCATCCTATACAGTAGATTTCAGTTTTTACTATTCGTAACTTTCACGCTTATGTTGCCCATTACAATAACACTGTAAGTCCAAAATTTTGGGTTTATTTTAATCATAGTAATCAATATTTAAACAGGTATCGATATTTTTGAGTTAGACCATAATTATATAGTGGCATGCAGCCTGGAGGTCATTGGTGCATAAAAATAATGATACTACCATATTGAATGGTGTTTCTTCGAGGCATGTTTTGGAGTTGTACACTTCCACAATACATTGAAAACTTAAAATATATAAAAGCTGATATCTAAAAGAATATATACAAGAAAACTTTCCCGAAAATTTTTGACCCTAGTATTATGAAAATGGACTTAAGTTCCAGTATATTGAATTAGCGACAGAATAATGATATCAATAATATATCTTGGATCGTTCAAATACAGATTATTGTAACAAAAAATAGTATTTTTAGATACTCCAAGGGTTCTATTAAATCCCAATATCAAATTTTGGTTTTATCTCTGGAAAAAAGAGAAAATACTACAAATATTGCAAAAAAAATCGCCATTTTAATGATATTACATAAAAAGAGGGTACAAATCCCCAAAGATTTTGGACCAAATGGGCCAAAAATATATCATTTCGGTTGATAGTAACCCTTTAAAACAATTTAAAGCATAAAAACCATTCGATTCTAAAATTTGTGTTTCGTATAATATGATCAAATATGAAATACAGGAAAAATTCGTATACTTTTGTGAGGCAATTTTATGGACTTTTTTAAAAAAAGCTAATTAAATTTATGTAAATGTAATTTTTTCAAGTTTTAAAAAGCGTGATATCAAACCTAAGGAATGTCTTGACAATATAACAAATTAATTTATTTTTTTTGCACACAAAATATATTATTAAATTTGGTTTCTTTTCATAGTTCACCTAAATTCGAATACTTATGAGAGACACTGTACATGTGATAACGTTTGTAAAGTTCTCATTATGTAAAATCACTGTAGAGGCCAACATAATAACTACGTTTGAACAGCTTTAGGTCAATAACGAATGCGAAGTTTCTGGCATTTCAGACGATTTGTGTATTCGATTCTTGAAAATTGTGGTAACGCTTCTACGATAAACAATCCGTATTCTAGATATAATATTGACATCGATTGTTTTCTTATTTGATATGCAATTCCCTTACTAACCTACAAATCTTTTAAATAAAAAAAAAATGCATTGTTCTTAATGAAAAACCCTATAGTAAGTATAAAAGCAGAAATATAGATTTGTTTGGGCCAAATGAGTTAGAATTTTTATGATTTCTAGAACAGGTAAGATTCAAAGTAGGGTGTATATTTTATCCGATTCGAAAAAATATACTTAGATCGCTATCGGTCCTATTGTGAACTACTTTTCATGGAAAATGTTGATGGAATAACTTTATATAGCGATATATGAAAGTAAGTATTGTCCAATGTTCAGGATCTTAGTTTCGTGGACTAGGTTTAGGTAATAAGGATAGCCACTCAATCAATCATGAGTAGCTCTTATGGGTCCACTCAATTCCAATCCCGTTGTGATGCCCTAGTGGTCATAAGAGTCCATTAAGGTACCCACTACTCACTACAATAGGAGGCAATAGCATAGGAGGTGAGGTATTGTTTCCTCTTCCTCCTCATTATGACATATCCTACATTTGTCGTTGTATTCGAGACTCAATCTTCTGGCGTGATAGCCAATTGCACAGTGTCTCATTATGACTAATAATAGCATTCATTAGCCAGCTTAATAGTAAGCTTGACATGGAAGCATCGTATAGAGGCCCAACCTCGAAGTGAGACAGGTGATTTTGCTAAATCATTTGATTTTAGCCATTTCATACAGTTCAGTCGGAACCAGTGACTTACAGTTTGTAAGGGAGATACCAGTAAATTAGTCATTTTCATCCTTCCCTCTCATCGAATTCGTGAACAAAATTTTGTAGAATTTTTCCCTCAGTGTTCCTGATGAATGTTATATCTGGAATAATATCGCTCTCAAAATATTTCGAGATGTTTTGGAACATATTTGAAAATAGTTTGGTGTGTAAACTTATTGAAAAGTTTTGAAAAATGTCGCTATAATTTTCAAGGGTTGCGGGGTGGTCGAAATCCGGTGTTATTAAAGTTAATAAACTTTTGAAATATTTAAAAGAATAATTATTTTTTCTCTTTAGTCCCCCTACTCTGTCCCTACAAAATTGAGACACGCGTGTAAAGAATACTCCTCAAAGACTGGTCAAAAACTAATTCTAATTCAAATATATAAAAAAAATAGACATTGTGATGTCCTAGGTGAGGACCAGCCATGTATTACATACGAATAATCTCAAAACTACTTCCTTGCTCAAATTCTGGGAGTATATGATCCGCAACATGGTCCTATGTAATGCAAAATAAACATGATCCATGTCTGCATTGCATGGGACTATTAAACATATCATCTACTCCAGTAATGGTTACTAGGAGTAGTTTTAGGATTACCTAGATGGAACATGTACTCCAATAATTTTTTCAGTGGTATTTCCATTATGTTTCCGCATTCAGTTACGCTACGGTCGAAAAAAAGTATTTCAAGCAAAAATGGAATCGTAAGATAAAGAAGAAGCATTTCCATTACGTTCCAATGCTTTGCTATGTTGTATATTATGCATTACGATCGAAGAAATATTGAATCGAAATGCACAGAATATCATAATGCCAAATGGAGATTATTTCGATTCGCATTAAAATGCAGAATAGGGGAGTATATGTGGAGAGATGACATGCCTACTTTATGTTCCCGCCCATAATTAGTTATATTAAACATAGCGATTTGATACTGTTACCTTACGATATATTCGTTTTTTGGGGATCCAAGCAGGGACATGTAGGGATATATTTGGAAAAATAATTTAAACAAATTTTGAATTTAACGTTTATATAGCTTTATTTTAGTCTTTCTTTTATTATTTATTCAATTTAACAATATATATCAATATAAATACGAATATTTTAAGCCATTGTTTAGTTTTATTCT